TATATTGAAAGCCATTGTCCGTAACGTATAGATTGACGGGTCTATTGATGGCATCGAAAGTAGTGGCCACAAGTGAATCGTACGTCAAATGATCGGCAATTAAGCGGATTTCCAGGGGATCTTTAGACGCGACTGTATTGATTGGAAATGCTGTATACAGTATCTTCTCGATCGCAGCGTTGTCTTTAATTTGAAGTGTTTTTAGCTTAGGTAAATTCACGAACGCATTATGGCCAATTATTTTTAACGCCTTATTTTGCTCGATGTAAATGTGCATGAGTTCGTTCATAGATTTTATACCACTCGCCGGTATCATGGTCAAATTAGTTTTAATTAGTCTCAAATTAGCTAGATTGGGTAGACTTTGAATGGCAGCGAATAGGTCACCACCCACAGTAGCCTCGTTTACGGGTGTGTTAATAATGTCTAAACGTTTGACCCTGTACGCCCCACCATTAAAAGCAGCTGAGTGAATTTTTTTCAAACTTTGCGCATCTTCAATAATGATGGCGTCAAAGGCGATGTCGGCGAACACATTGGCCGGAAGTTCAGTGATTTTATAGTTTTTTAATACAAACCGTACAAAAGTTTTTTCCTCGGCTTTCAGTGATGTTTGCAGGGCTTTAAACATTGCCACCAAATCGAGTGCCACTCCGCTGTCGCACTCGATGGCGCATTTAATGTTGGCCACCTCCACGAACTTGCATGGTGCTTTTATTAATGTGGTATCAGGGCAGATTTTGTCCGCTGTTACCATGCTCAATACGGCCGCAACCGCCAATAGATTTACTATTAATTAAAAAAAACAATATTTTAAATTAATATTTAGTATTAAAAATATTGAATAGATTTTTAAATACTTACAAATTTTATTCATTTTTGCAAACTATTGTACACCAACTTTACTGTTGAACTACAATACTATTTGTATTATATTTTTAATTAATTTAAATTGCTATTTATACTTTATTTTCATTGCCAAATGGATTACATTTATCTAATCTAAACACGTAGGAAGTATTGCAGAATTACACTCATCATTAGGTAATTTTACAGTATATCCTTAACTATGAATCTATATTACCTAAACAGATGTTATAATAATAATTGTTTTACTAATTTGTTCTAATTAATATACAATAGAAAAATATTACTAATTAAACAAAGAATTAAAATTTATTATTAAATAATTTGTACATTTTAATTAAATACAATTTTTATTATTTAGTATAAATATAATATAAATTATAAAATTAAAAATGTTTGTATAATCGGCATAAAAAGTTCGATTATAGTTTATAAGATAAAAGTTTAGTTTATTATTGTGCAAGATGTTTCTTATTGACTTTGACCATGGTTATCACTTTATTATTGAATTACTTAGAAAACAAAAGTTACAAAATACACATATAAGAGATAAGACCGATGTTGACTATTATATTATATTATATTTTTTGATTTAACAAACATAATCCAACATGTACAAACTAAATATTTTCACATAAATACTAAATATATTAAGCATTTTTATACTAGAATTAAATACTGACAGACTTACATTGTACAGTATTAGTATTTTATTAACACGAATAATAATGCTAATTTTTCCTTTAAATTTTAATAACAATTAAATTAACCAACTTTATTGTTGAAAATTTTAGCAACATTATTAGTTGTAATAACAAATAAATTTAAACTTCAGTGGGTTCATTATAATTTATAATATAAATTTTATATTTATTATATTTTAGTAGTTAGAAGCATTAGAATAAAAATGAAATTTTCGCTTTTAATTTATAAAAAGTTTGCCTATTAAGACAAATGTAATATTACTAATATTACCTACAAACTATACATTACTTATGTTTTACCGATACTTGAGTTTTCCAATCAATCAATTGTTTTAAATAATACACAAAATGAGAGATTAGAAAAAGTACAAAAAAAGATAACAAAATACATATGCTATAAACTAGGTTTAAATAATATTACATATAATAAAAGGTTAATTGCATTAAATATTTGTACACATCAAAAGCGAAGAAATATTCAAATTTTGAAAACACTCTTTAAAATTAAAAATAATTGTTTTAAAATTGACAACAAATAAAGAAATAAAATAGATTTTTATGAAAACTCCAGAAACGGTACGTTTTGTAAAATACCAAAAAATTCGTATTTCATTAGTAGAGAAAAACTTCTTTTATAATTGTATAAAACTATTTAATTCATTGCCAAAACTTATACAAAATGAAAATAATTATAACAAATTTGTAAAATTATTAAATGATTATCTGTAATATATTTATACTTTATATTACGTTTAAAACAAGTTCTTGAATAAACTATTATTATTACAAGGCATTCAGAAATAAATGTCCATAATGGCCATAACTTAAAAACGAATGAAGTTAATTTGATTCTGTCTTCGGATTATAATAACACTAACCCAT